TATATGAAAATCTAAAATTCTCTACATGTATATCTATATATTTAAGTATGCATATTATATATTAAAAGTGCAAATTTAGACATTTTTAAAGGTGACTTTATTTATGTATATTTTTTATTTTCAAAATTTAAAAAAATATTAGCATAATACATATATGTACATATATGAGAAATATATATTTAATTATAAAGAATTCACTCGTATAGTCCACACTTTAGTAAACTAAGAACAATTACTTTTGGAATATCCTTTGCAATGCAACGTGAATCAGATTTCCTCATTACGCCCATTCGAAAATTGCATTAAGATGCCAAGCCTAATGGCCATATTGTACTAGATTAGACATTTCAGACACATTTTCTGCTTGGTTTGGCTGCAATGCATGAATGGACGAATGAAGTCATTTGCTATTTGTTATCATTGGCCGCACGGAAGCCATACGAAATCTGCGATGCGAAATCTGTTGCAGGCTGCAAGCTGCCGGAAGCTGTGCGGTGCACTTGAACATCATTAGCCAATGAGAAATGGCGTCAATACACTTCATAAGCCAGCCAGAGGCACCTAGGCACCCAGGCAGCCAGGCAGGTGGCGCAGAGGTGAGACTCTGGATAAACTAAGCAAGTTTTGTTGCTGAATTGGAATCGCAATCGAAATCGAAATCGATTTAGCTTGCAGCAAAACAAGCCGAAAGCGGAAAACTGAACTGAAATAGCTGAAGCACTCGGTTGCCCCCTAAAAAATACAAGCAAACAAACTCACACACACAAACACGCACTGACACACTCACATATGTGTGTGTGTGTGCTTTCAGCTATAGTTTCTATAGCACTCATCGGTTCTGACGTCAGAGCTAGCTGGAAAAACCGCAACGAAAATGGCCAATGAAATGTTACAACGACGTCAGCGAGGATGCTGACATCGAGACAGACAGAGAAAGGCACAGAGAGAGGGAGAGAGAAGATGTGAAGATGAGAGATGAAGAGCTGTTATTGCTGCTGCGTGTAACGGATTTGTCTTTGGCCACTGATTGTTGTTGTTATTCTTGTTGTTGCTCTTCTTCTTGCCATTATTATTATTTTGGGTAATATATAAARAGATGGTGCTGTTGGCAGCTGAGAGGGAGCGGGTATGATGGAACGTGTCTATATATAAAACATGTGAGCAGGTTGGTCTATGAATCCCAAGTATCCATATCCAAGACTTACAGGGTATTCACAAATTAAATTGAAATTATTAACTTTCTACAAAGTATTTTAAGAGAAATGCGAATCTTTTTTATATTAGAGTAACTTTTTGATCAATCTGAGATATGTATGCTAATGAGGTTCATCAATATGGATCATAGGGTATCTGTTAGTTGTATATAACCTTATGTTTGCCCTTATTTTTAGCTGCTCTGAGTGCTTGCATTCATACCCGGCATCTGCGTGTGTTTGTTTATTTATTGACATTCAGTTGAGTAACTGAATCAGGTCTTTTATGCATATAAAGGTATATATGTATATGTATATATACATATATTTAAATATTTAGGTATATGTATGCATGGGTATGCATGGAACTATACCCATCATAAGGCCACACATAAGCCGAAGATAGTGTGCCCGTTTTCAGGGGAAATTAATTTTGATACTCATTCATTTGGTGTGAATAAGAGCATATTAGGTGATCATACAGTTGCTAGATACTTAGCATATAAATATATATATATAGATGAATGACATGTCTTCTTGTCTTATAAACTCTAATGATTTGAAATAAAAACTTCATATTTTACGCATTTCTATCTGCAGCTCTTGTCACAGCTGAGCTACACTCTCCAATGACGACCAACGGCCATTTGACGCGTGACAAATTGGAATACCTCAATTTGCATATCAGATTTGACATATTTTAACGAGCATTATGAAGTCGGTTAGGCCTGACTGCAGCGCTGGTCGGCTCATTTCATTTTTTTGGCACACGTGAAAGGCTTTAGGAAACCCAACTCAAGTACCTCGCCGCGTATACGTAATATGCGTTGGACAGAGTGTAGCTGCATGTGTGTGTGTGTGTGGTTATGTGTGTGTGTGTGACACTCGAGTTACAGCACAACATGGCATATAAAATCGAATAAATCAACAAACATGACAAAATGTTGGCACACTCTGAGCAGCATTTTTGTCGCTTAATTGGAGTGTGCAACACACACACACACACATGGGCATACACACACACAGTCTCACACTCACACAGACAAGATATAAAAAAAAGGCAAAACTTTGACTTTGACTTTGACTGACAGATTTGACACACACGCRTATGTGTGTGTAAGTGTGTTGGTGTTGCTATGTGTGTGTTGGTGTCGGTGTGTGACAGAGCAAATACCAAAACAAATGCCATTTGCCAAAGCGTAACAAAAGGCGCTGAACTCCTTGGCTTTCCCACACACACACGCACATACACACGCATAGCCTGTCAGACAGGCAAAATAATCCCCCCCACACACACACACAAAGATAGCGTAAATATGCCACAGTAAATGTAGAAGGAGGTATAGCTAGTGTCACGAGGGATGGGCTGGGCGGGGCGGGGCGGGGCAGGGCTTGGCCACATATATGCATATCGGCAAATGGAGCGTGTGGGCGAGGACCTTATTTGCATCTCATTAACATGGCGCACTGGACTCGTAAAAACGCAGACAAAAGGACAGAGCGGGAGGACGAAACTGGATAAAGGAGCACTGGACAATGGAATAAATGGAACAAATGGCATAAATGGCATCCACACTCGGCGGCCGCAGATGGCGTCATCAATGCCTGTCCAATAGCTAACAAGTTGCTGTGCAGTAGCTAAGAAGGCATGCCCGACTAGCAAATACCCTGAGCAGCAGAATACCAGATCCTTGTCTAAGACTCTTCGACACTTATTTCAAATATCGCCCAACATTGGAGAGAGGTTCAATGGGGACTGCTTGACTATTAAATACCTTGACTGGAATAAAACTAAATCGATTTTCCATGAGCTAAAACAGTTCGAGTGCTCTAACAGGAGGTACTCGACTAGTAAATAATACCCTAACTGATTCATGCCCAACTCACATACATTGCTATCGAATCAATATTCCCTATTTTGCCGAATCGTTTTTAGAGGGCATTCCAAATAGTTTGCAACAAATGGCGCAGCTCTACATTGCTATGAATGTTGTTCTTTGTTGTTGTTGCTGTCGTTGTTGTTGCTGTCGCCTGATGTCGATTGTTGTTGCTATGTAGCTGCGTGTTGGCTTTTATTGTTAGAGCAACAGCAGCTACAACAATTGCATAGGAAAGCGCGTATTAGACTCAAGTCAGGCGAATGAAGCAATTTAAATGGAATTATCGAGCATCTATGCTAATATGGGATATTCTATAAGTAGTTGGATGTGCGTGTGGATGCCATATAACTAAGATTTAAAGAATGACTTTACTCGGAGGAATTCGGAATCGTTAGCTCAACTCGCTGGCTTAAAGTTAAATATTTTAGAGAGATTAAGGAATCTCTATATGAAGTGAGTTGCTTGAAATCTTGAGGGGATATCTACTTGTAGTAGAATATCTCATTGAAGTGCCGGAAAAGCCTTCCGGACTCTTCCACCTCATAGGCTTCATAGCTTTAGGTGAGGATTATTAGACTCCCAATCGGACTTCTTATTGAAGTTCTGACTCAAATTCTAATTGAACTACAAAAATTGTTAACAAGTTGAAATAAAGAGATAATTGTAGTTTATATATGATATACAGGGTATGGGATAGTACAACTCAATGCAGTTTTTATTTTGATATACAAATATGCGCTTCAACTATTTGGGTTTTTATTCACAATAGGCGCAGAGTCTGTGTGCTTGTGCTTGTATTAGTGACATATTAACACGCCTAATGAGCATGTCCATGCAACACACACATACACGCTTTAATATATTTATATTATAATATTCTGCTATCCTGTGGCAGCCTCGTTAACTTTCGATGATAGATGTTGGCTCTGCCTCTTCTTCATCGACGTCGCTAGTTAATGTCACAAATTTTGATAAATTGTTTGATATGCGGCTTTAATGGTGCTTTTTTATGAACCGCCCTCGCTCTCACTATACTCACTCTCCCTCTCTCTTTCTCTCTCGTACACACTTTATGTGTGTCGTAAATGTGTGATTATGCTAATAGTTGTAGAAGTGCCAACAAAAACGGGTATAAAAAACTGAATAAAAAATATTCCAATTCGCATGCAAAGTCTTTAATACCCCTTGAAATTGAGCACTTGGAGTATATTGATTCTGAGCATAGTCGTATGAGTGGTATAAGTAAAATAAAATAAAATATATGTATTTTTTATGCCAGCTATTAAAGCTGTAATTATCTAGCTATATCCTCCTTCTGTCCGCCCCTTGTCCCACTGTTTGCATGCTTGGATCTCGAGAACTAAAAGCACTAGAGACTTGAAATTTAAAATACAGATTCTTGTCTACTATACTGTCAATTATTCCATTATTTTCATTCGATATCTCATGTCAACTCATGAGAATCGATACAAATTATTGGATAATCAAACTAAAGAAAATAGTTTATTTCAACTACCCATAAACCACCTGTATTTAGAGTATGCGCTCGTTAGGAGCTCCCGCCTACCACACGCTCACTTATATTTATTTTTTATGGCAAACATGGCACATTTATTTATTCAGCATTTTGTTGAACACGCGCGCAAATAATTTACGAGTTGCTTAGCTTCTGGCCCAGAGGCAAATGTATATAAATATATGCACATATATATCATATTATATATATATTCAGCCTATAGTTATATACATATATATTTATATAGGCTTCAGTGCGTGCTGGCCTCGGGGTTAAGGCTGTGCCTAGGCCCAATTTCTACTCATATTTTCCCTCAGCTCATATTCATATCCGCTTGTCCTTTGACCCGTTGGCTATTTACGTTTCATGAACATGTTGATTTCAACATATTTGCATTAACTGTTTACATACCTTCTTCTTCTTCTTCTCCTTCTGCTTCGTCTTCTTCTTCTTTGTCTGTGCGGTCTTTAAAGATTTGCCAAAGCGGTCAAAGGTTGCAGAGGAAAAGCGCTCGGATTCTACTGCCTCATGCTGCAACGAAAACAGAATTGAATAAATAAATTAATAAAAAACATAAACAATAAGCAAACATGCTTTGGTAGGGTATGCCCGACTGGCCAAGCTGCTGTCGCAAACAATTCTGAGTAGAACTGTATTACTCCTCTGCTCTAATATACCTATACTCTTCTATTCTTATACTCGCTCTTATATTCTGTTATTCGAGCTAATTTAATTCAGCATTAGATCCCATACTTCTTTTATACTCCTATTCATGCTCTATCTTCGTATACTCTTATACACAGATAGTGATGGGAGGTTAGACACTGCTCAACATTCTTATAATACGCTTATTCTTACACTTTTCTATAGACCGATGAGCAAACGAACGGCGCTAAGTCAACTCGGCTGCTGTTCATGCTCTAGAGACTGGCACGCCTTCTTTTGCCTTTACATACACTTAAAGGCAGTCACGTATACCCCGCTCGAGCCAACCCATAAAGGAATTAAATGCATTAAATGCTCAGCTAAAGTTTGCTGTCTTGGAACAACTTTTGCTGCTGTTAAGCCGAAAGAGTTCAAAGGTTGTCTATCATTTTTTTATGGAACAGACATTTCTACTAACTACCCGTCCACCTGACCCCCTGCCTCACTGCTCACCTGCCAACCGACCTACCTGCTTGTCTGCCTGTCTGTCATTTGGCCCATGTCAAGGCTTTAAGCCTTTAATTCCATTTTACATAGCTTATCATAAATTGCGAACTAAATTTAATGTTAAACAACGGCAAACGCGGGCTTAGATAAGACAATATCAAAGTCTTTAATAAACAGATTAAAGAGGAATTTCTGAAACTTGGCCCAAGCGAAAAGAGCTTTGTATGAATCAATATGGCATATATATATGTATATATATATTTAGTATGTGGGTGTATGTCAACAATTAAGTGGGCTCGTCAGGAGGGCCCGACTAGGGGAGACACTGAATCATGGGCCGTAATCAAAGTGTGCTATGGGCTGAGCTCCATTCTCCTACTGCTCTCCTATTCATATTATTCTTAATAGTCTTTCGACTCTTATAGTATTGTATTATTCTAGTCTTGTAATATTTTCTTAGATTCGTATAGTCTTATACAGATACTATCATTCTACGATTATATATTTTATTTTTATTACTCTTATATTTTTATATTATTGATTTCTTATAGTCTAATGCTCGTGTTCTCAGAATTTATGGCTATTACAGTCTTCTTCATCTTACTTATACTGCCAACTGGATAAAGGACCTGTTGGCCATTTGCGCACTTTCCTTTATACAGATTTGTATATCAAATTGTTCCACATTGAATACAACTTAAATTGTTAGCCAACTCTTTAAATACTTTAGCATGAACATTATTTAATGGCCTGGCCAATTTGCCAGACCCTTTGTTGTTCAACTTGTCAGAGTCAACAGCACAAAGTGCCCTGAATAAAGTTAAGTGCAAAAGCAAAGAATGTCAAATGCTTTGTGGGAGGCTCAACCTGCAACGTGCAACGTGCAGCGGGCAACGTGCAACGTGCAACATGCATTTCAAATCTAGCAGCTGCCCCAAACTTTTTAGCGCTAGCCACTCGAAACATGTGTTTGTCAACCGAAACTTCACACGTGCGTGCACCGGGTGTGTGTGTGTTAGTCTGTGTGTGTGCGTGTGTGTGCTTGGTAAAAGCTTGCTCTACCAACAATTTTGTCCTTGCGAGGAGTATTCTAATTAATAAGCCAACAGAAACGCTGGCACTAAAAGCATATATGGGGAAATGAATGCGAGGGTAGCACGTCAAGTTCTAGCTGTATGCAGCTGGGTGAAATAAAAATATATTCTAATGTATATTTCTTTATAATTCACAGTGGAAAATAATGAAAATGATCCAAAAAGCCCAGTTTATCGTCAATAATATCATATTCCTAGGGTATTCAATAGTCATTACTTGCAAATATATATATATATATTCAATATATCAATATTTTACTCATAGCCATTATCAAGCTATAACTACATATGTAGAGTTTCTTCAACTCTCTTGATTTTACTTTTGACAATTCCGTTTTTCTAGGGTATTTAGTACTCGAACTCCTCTCTGTTCCCTCTCTCTTATTTAATGTGTGAATTTGAAATTGTGTGGCGTATGTTTGTGCGTTGAGTGAGTTGGTGTGGAGTGGAGAGACGCACTCCCCGGAGTGCTTTTCCCTGCGAACAACTTAAATATGGCAATTTAATCAAGTCTACAAAACATGCCCAGCGCTCGCTTCAATATTTATGAAACGCCACTCGACAAGGCGTATACGCAATATTTCAGCTACTTGTTTTAAGTGAAAATTCTATTTGTGTGTGTGTGTGTGTGTGTGTGTGAAGTGAAGACACGTGGCTAGCATTGATTCAAGCTGCTTTTTAGCCTGGTCTAAGTGCAACCTTTCAGCTGTTGTCAACGCATTGAATGCTCGTTATTTGGCAATTTAACTGGTTATATTCACTCTGGATGTGAAAGTGGGTATATTGGTTTCTATATACTATTACTACGTCATATATCGACAAACAATAATTTTCTCATCAATTTCCCTTTTTGGCCCGGCAACTGTAACGAGCATTGCGCAGTCGGCTATGCCCCACTGCTAGTTACTTTATCCTATTAGCCAGTTTTCTAGTTTCCGATATCTACAATTATCAGTGCTAATCAGCAAAAGTGGGGGGAAGAGACAGAAGTCAGGGAGTTTGTGGGGCGACGGCGGCCGATGAGAATTTTTAGAGGCCACAAAATGGAAAAACTTGAATGCGAGGGCAATCAGTGACACGCCCAGCGTGTAGCTGCCGCCCCCTTTTTCTTGTGCGTTGCGTGTCACAAATTCAGTGTTCATTTTTTCCATTTTTTATATATATTTTTTTTCATGTTGTTTCTTTTTTGTTTGCCTTTTGCGGGGCTGCGCGTTGCGCTGTGCGACGCTGCGGCTTATCACATAATTTGAATAAAGTAGCTGCAATCTTCTGTCAGTTTATCGCAAATTAGACAACAACAGCAACAACAGCAGCAACGACACACGACGAGATAAAARCAACAACAACAATGACAACAAACAGAGACAGCCACAACGTCAGCAACATTTGCTGAGAGAGAGAAAAGATTTCAGATTGGAGATTGAAGATTCCAAAGACGATGATGAATCCAATTTGCTGATCTAAATTTGATTCGCTTTGATGCATGAAAACGGGACTGATTGACTGACTGTAGACGAAATGATTGAACAGTGACGTTGGATTGATAAAATATTGAAGATGAGCTAAACCATCAAATTGCTTTGAGCTAAAGTAAAACCCATTTATGATTAAAAGTATCGGAAACATTACTAAATAGGGATTTTTAAGACGAGAATCGGGTTGAAGTTTCAATATTGAGGACTAAAGGTAGTAGATTGAAGATGCAAAATGCTGCTTATACCCAATTCGATTCAACTTCAACTTAAGCCTAAAGCTAAATAGTTGAAAGACATTTTCAACCGAATTCCAATGCTAGCAGAAGCTACCCAAAGTGACTGAAAAAATTTCTTCCAAAAAAAACTCGCAGCAATAAATGAAATTATGAATATGTGTTGAAAGCCTTCGGCCTTTGGCTGGGGTAACGGGAAAACATTTAATTGAATCACAGTCTGTGTCGTCAGTCTGTCGTCAGCTGCTGGGTTAAACTGATTAAATGTGACACCTTTAATACAATATATATGTAGGTGTGTCGAGTGTGCGTGTGTGTGTGTGCGCGGCATGTCTGGCTTTTTATGGACACGCATTGAATGTGCCACAAAATCTATTGAAAAAGAAAATCAAAAATGAATCGGAAAATTTCCGAGAATTAAAGCAAATAAATGTTTTAAATATTTTTATGCATTTCCCTTTTTTTCATATTGTTTAAAAGATAAAACAAATTTCTTTAGAAGAACAGCAATAACAGCAACAACTTGGCTACTATTAGCTGATTGCTATTTGCTTGCACGCCACGGGGCGTATACGTTATGCCTTGAATGCTAGAGCAAAAGGCGAACGCCAAACACACATACATAGAGACAGAGACAACGACTTTATAGATGTATGTGAGGGGACTTATACAGATATATTTGCCTTGTATATTTACTGGGTAGTTCATATTATCGCGCGCTTCATCGCCATAAAAGACTTAAATTAGTTATCAAATTATTGTTTTATGCGATTTCCTTTATGCGTGTCATAAAACTCGTAATAGACCAAAATTAGCCACACAACAATTCAATTGATTAGCAATAAAGTGTTCACATAGTGAACAAGCGAGTATATTGGTTTAGTTGGAATGCATGTTTTTATTTGTTAATAAATACATGTGTTAGAGATTAACATAAATCAAAAAGAGATATGAATGTCAATAGCCAAAGCTGTTAGCAGCTTCATAAACATTAAAGTGATTTAAAATAATATTTAAAATATTCTCTGATGATCTCTTCATGTTCTTCTGCTATAAAGAGCTGCAGTTCGTTAAAATTCCACAGATTCCGATTCAACATATTTTATTTTTTTTTTTTTTTGGAATTTTAAATTGAATTGCAGCAGCATGTTTTTCACTATTAACGAGCGCGTGTATTTTTTTATTTATTTACATTTCTGTTTTTTATTTCTGTTTTTATTCGTGTGCCCCGATTTTGTTTTCCGTTCTCCGTTTTTTTGTTTTTTATGTCATCACTGGAGGAGCGTCCGTTAGCTTTTTTCTGCTTGCTTTACACATGCAAACGTCTTTCGCAAGTGGCGGACAGAGACGCAAAATCAACAAGCAGCAGCAGCAGCAGCAGCAGCAGCAGCAGTAGGCGTTGAGCTGCTTGTTTATGTGCTTTCTCGCTCTGACTTGGGCTAGCGAAAGACGCTAGCGCTTGTTTGCGTGTGTGAGTGTGTGCAAGTGTGTTTGCTTGCTTGCCTGTGTGTTTGGGTTAATTGCATGCTCTTTTTTTACTTTTTTCTTTTTCTTTTACATTAACATATTTCCTAGAAGAGTTGCGGCTCCCTTAAAGCGGGCGCTTACCTGTTGTTGTTGATCCTGTTATTATTTAAATGATTTTTGGCGCCTCACACTTTTAAGACTCTTGTTCTTCCTCCTGTTGGTGTCGTTGCCGATTTGTTGTTGTTGTTTTTGCTATGAATTTGTAAGCTTTGATTTTTAGCATATTTTGCTGCGCAGTTCAATGTTGAAATGTTTTTGTGTAAATTTACAATTAGATTTGTTTATTTGCTTTTGTTTCTCGTTTATTTTGTTAACTTTTCACCTGTTTCACACACACAGAAATTTATATTTTTGGTTTTTCTTTTGTTTTAGCTTACAAAAATATATATTTGCATATAACGTATTTAACACTTTGTTATAGTATTAACAATTCGGTTCAACATTCAATACATATTGTTCAATTTGGGATTTCTTAGCTGCTACCTCTGCTTGGGTAGCAAAAAATCTCTGCTAGCGCGCTTCGCTACTACACCGGCACTTCCACTGAAGAACTGAGGCGCTGCTGCACTGTGCGCGCCTTTTTATATGCCAGCTGTCGATGCTCTCACACTCTCTGACGCTCTTGTGCTTATGCTCTCCCGATGCGTGCTTTTCTCTTTTTGTGCGTTACTCTTAAGAGCTCGCCTGACGCTCGCTTGCAATTGTTATCAGTGTTGCGCCTTATGACGTCACTGCGGCGCTCATTTGCCAAATTGCACGTGCTGAACTTTTTTTTTGGCTGTTTGACTTCCTGTTTGTGTGTTTGTGAGAGTGTGTGTTTGTGTATGCGTGGCCATAAATTAACAGGCAACCTTTGCGTCCCTAGCATTGGCTTGTGCTGCTTTGTTTATTTACATATTTCTTGGTACCTACTACATCGCTCTCAGTTACTCAATTACATTGTTACTGTTTGTTGTTGTTTTTTTTAGCTGCATTGCTGCTTCTTATTGTTGTGGCTCTTCATATTCTTGCTTTATTCTTTACTGGTGCTGCTGTTGCCGCTGCTGTGTTACTCAACTGTTATTGCTCAGCTGTGACGCTCTGCTGTGACGCTCTGCTATTTTAACTGCTACTCTGCTGCGGCCGGCTCTTCATATTCTTGCTTTATTCTTTATTGGAACGACCGCTGCTGATGGGCTACTCTGCTGCTACTGTTCCTACTGCTGCAGCTCTGCTGTGACGCTCTGCTCTGCTGCTACCGGCTCTTCATATCATTCTTTATTGGTGCTGCCTCTGCTGCTGCGCTGCGCTGCTGCTCCGCAGCTCTTCCTTCTTCATCTACTTCAATAGCTCTGCTGCTATAACTGCTGCACTGCTGCTGCGCTGCGCTGCTCTGCTTTTGCTGCCGCTACTCTGCTACTGCTCTGTCGTAGCTGTTCTATTGTTTGCCATCGCCTCGGCTCGTTTGCATTGTGCTTTTTGCTGTTGATTTATCTCAAATGGCGCATTACTTCAACTTTCGCATTCTCACTCCCAATCTCCCTCTCTCTCACTCTGACTGAGACTCTCTTGCTGCTATTTATATATTTATTGCACTTGAAAATGAAATTGCAAATAAATAAACTGTTGCACACTTTGCAGGGCAGTGCGAATTGTTCACTTTGTTTGGCTCTTTCGAACTTAAGTTGTTTGCATTCGATATTTATTTATTTATTTATATTTGTAAATCTTATTGGATAAGAAAAGTAATAAAGTTGTAGGCAAATTTTTTTTTTTTTTTTGCCTTAATAATGCATTAATAATTTGTTAGCCAGTAGCCGAAATACAGGGTATTTCCGGCGCCTGCAAATGCTGCATAAATTAAGCAAAATGAACTTGAAAATAACTGTGAAAATATTAAACGAGGGCATTGCCTGATAACTCCACTGACAGGGGGAGAGTGACGGTCGCAGTGGCAGTGGGAAAGAGAGGGAGCGAAAATAACGTACGAAATTCGCAACATAAATTTTTGAACACATTTTCACGTCACGCAGGCACACACGTGCGTGCGAGGGAGACGGCAAGCGGTGGGGCGCCTTTGCTTTAATGTTGCCTACTTTCGGGCCGTCGCCATTTTCGTTTCTGTTTTGGCTTTTATTTTTAGCAGCAGGCAGCATAATTTTTTATTGATTGGATTTCAGCGAAAATCACTTCCGGCGATAAATTTGTTATGCACATGGCCCAGTCACGCCCCACCCCCACCAACCACTCCCCACTTCCCATTCCCCACTCTAAGTGGGCTCGACAGCTGCCTGACACAAACAAGAAGAAGATAAGAAAACTTTTGCTTTTGATTTATTTTACATTTGCGTCAATGTCAAACGAGTTGGCGTCGCTCGAAGTCCTTTGATTGTTTGTGTTTATTTGGCTTTCCACTAATGGCTAAAATGTAACAAAAAGCCAACAGCGCTCACATTTGTCTACCCCTTTCGTCTGCCACGCCCACAAGCAATCCACTTGTCATGTAATTCAATACTCGAATACTTCGAATCACTGCTCGAAGGTTAATGTCCTGGCAGAAGACAAACATCCTCCAGCTTCCATCCTCCATCCTCGAGCAGGCAACAATAAAACCAAAATCAACAGAATTGAGTCCAAAAACAGTCCGAAATGAGCCCAAAAAGAGTCCAAAGTCCGAGGACCAAGGTCCAGCATCGACAGTTGCGAGTCTCGAATCGAGTGCCAAATGAAGCACGAAACACTTTAATCCAAATATTTATTTAGCCCGCAGCAGCAGCAAAGGCAGCGGCTGTGCCAAATGAAGCATTAAAGACGCCATCATAATAAACAATTGAGCGTGAGGCACTGCTGCACGCACAGATACTCTGCGTGAAACATCAAATGATTAATATCTGATATACTTATGTTTGTTTACAGGGTATATATCTTCACTTTAGGTTATCATTTTAGGCACACTACGGATATATACAAAAAAAATAATATAACAATAATAATATAGTTGTAGTCAATATACCCGTTTGACATACTATCCTCACTCTAGGATGTGCTCTCAGCCAAATCCACAGTATAGGGTATCACAACAACTGGATTCTATTCTTTGTAGTTAATATACCCCTCTGACAGTGTAACTTCACTCCAGGGCATTCGCAACAGCTGCGTGGCACAGCAGGCAACCAGCAAGACAACGGTAACATTCCCATAGAAACGCCGCTGCTCAGTCGCTGCGCTACGCGGCTTAAGAGAACCATGACGTCACAGACCAAAGAGCAAAGTGTGCACTGACTGGCGGCCATTTTGAATGTGCGCGTGCGTCAAGTGTTTGTTGCTGTTGTTGTTTTTGCTTTTGTGTGTTTGGCCACAAGGACTTGGGACTTCCGGCTAAGTGCGACCATATGACATCATTGAAAACAAACGTCGAGCTTTGGTAATGAAATTATGCACACACACACATGCACACACACACAAAGAGTGAGTGAGAGAGGTAGAGAGGCGGCTGTTTAGTTGTTGCTGTGAATAGTTTTTGGCTTCTGGCTTGGCGCCTTGGGGCGCTGACGTCATCGTCGTCCACTGTGCACTCGAATGTAAAATTGGCAAATAAATAGGATTTTATATTTAACACTCATAATGATGATGATGACATAAGCAGGGAATTGGAGCTTGAGCATTTATCTTTTGTTTTCGTTCGTGTTTTGTGTGTTATGTTGTTGCCCACCTGTCAGAGGTCACCTGTCTGTGCCAGCTAATTGAATTTTTGGGTCTTACAAATGCCGCTGCAGCTGCTAGAGATGTTTAAGCATTTTATTGCTTAGCCATCACGCGCTGCATTTAACCCTATTTAGCCCCATTTACCGTTAGCTGTAATCATAATTAAATGACGTCAATGCTGTCTGTCGGCCGCCTTTTATGACCGCCACTGTGCGGCTCTCTTTTATTTGAGGCATACTTTCGGGCGCTCCTTAAAAATTGCACCACAGCCGCCAGTGCAGCCGAAACTAGTTGCTTTTAGCCATTTTCCCTTTACGACTGACAGACACATAAACGTGCCGGAAATTAAACATAAAATTTTATGCCATATTATGCCTAGGCTTACAGCAGAAGGCAGTAAATAACAACTATCTGCTTGAAAGAAGGCTTGATTTGTGTGAAGAGAAAATCCAAGATAAGCTAAGCGAACGACCTATGCCTAAGGTACTAGATTGTGCCACAGCAGAAGTCCCAATAGCTTGAGAAAAAGCTAAACTGGCAACACTAAACGAATTGCAGTCGACGTCGCTGTCGGCGTTGCTGTTGTCGCTGCAGTCTGCACCAGCTGCGCAGCGAGATCCGATGGTTTAGCGCACAAAAGAAGACAGCAATTTATGAAGATCAGCTGACAGCAGCTTGAAAACGGCTATGCTGACAACACTCAGCAACGTCAACATCGTCGTCGCCGTCGCCGTCGCAGTCACAGCAGCTGCGCAGCGAGCTAACGGCGCGCATTGGCATGAGCCCCAATGGCTCTTGGCTCTTGCGCTGCTGTCTTCAGTTTTTCGATTGCCAGTTTCTTTCTGCCAGTCGTTCGCGTCGGTCGATCGGTTTGCCAGTCGCTGCGCGAAAACGAAGCCGAAGACGCAAACGCAGACACGAACAGCAACTGCAACAACAATATATTTTTTCGTAACGGGCCTAAGCAAACGCACACGCACAGGCATCGCAACGCAAGTGCTGCGCGCGGCTGCAGTCGCTCGTGTAAACGAATACAAGGTGCACACAACTAACAAAAACAGCTAAAACAACAACAATAACAACAACTTTAATGTTGTTATCAATTATTTAGGCAATATTTCAGATTTCAATAACTTTGACACAATTTCGTGCAAAACTGTGAAAAATCGTGAAGAAGCTGAGAAAAAGTGCATTAAATTTGCGCGGCTAAGAAAGAAGAAAGAAGAGAGAGACAAGAAGAAGCAGAAAAAACAACACGAAGCGCAGCAGCAGAAATTGAAAACAAACAGAAAAGAAATTGCATAAGTTTTCGCCTTTTTGGCGCATCTTCATTTATTTTCTCGTTTCTTCAGCTGCTGCTGCTGCCTCTGCTGCCTCTGCTGCTTCTTCTTCTGCTTATGCTTCTTCTGCAAAGCAGCCAAAAGTTGTTAAGCTCATTTGTTGAAACAAGTCAAAAATAAAATTCAAAATTATGTTAATCAATTTCTTGTTTGGCAAATTGGATATTTTGATTATATTTTAGCAACTTTTTTGTTTATATGTAAAAATATTTGCAAATTTATATAATTTGAATTGGCAATTTATCATCTGTGTATGTCTGTGCCGCCCTCTCCTCATTTAACTATTTAGCACAGCTTTTATATCTCCCCTCTCTCTCACTCTGCTCAGTAATTTTTATTGTACAACAGAAATTTTATTGTATAAAAGTAAACAAATAAAATGAAATGAAAAATTTTAACATATATATTAAAAAATACCATACTTTTTCTTTTACATTGATATTTGAGGCATATAAACTAAAAACTAAAAGTAAACAAATATATATATGAAAATAAACAAATTAATTTTTAATTCTTAACAAGTTGTTTATAGA